CTTTTCTTCCAACATATTTTTCTTTGTCACTTTACCAGTTTTCAAACTTTGACTCCCTCCCTCTATTGTCCTTTCTCTCGCTAATTCTCCAGTTCTGTTCTTCTCTGCGGGGAGAGACAGCGTGGCGACAGCTGAAGGCGACCCAGAGGACAGGCAGACAGAACTGCCCTACTATTATCAATTACATAAATAAATACCACAAATGCAGTAAAGCGTGCAGCAGGGCTGATGTAGGCGGATGCAGCAATGCGGCTGGAACGGTGGCAGCGATTTTTTACGGTTCATGACTATCACCACACAGACTGAATGACAGATGCCCAATCATCTGCTCAGCATCACTGGTGGATTGATCAGTAATGTGCATCCCAACAGGACCATGCGAACAAGGTATGGGAATGTTAAAGTTTCTGTTGTACAGGTTTATATAAGTTTATTTTAAGTTTATATCAATTTTAGATTTTTTTTTTATGTGTTGTTAAAGACATTTTATTTATATTTTTTGGGCAACAGTACCCCCAGCAGTAAAGGACTCACAAACATAAAAAGACAGTGGTCAGTACACAATTCAGCAAACATTTGAAAAACAAATACAGTATACATTTACAGTATACACCAATACCCAAGCATGCTATGGACCTGAACAGACCAGTGGTTTACTTTATATCCAAGAAAAGAAAGTTTTAACGAAATCTGTGTTTTTAAACTAATGAAGACAGCAGAAGTCAATGATGTATTTTAATTATTTAGCCTGACATGTTTACTTATTAAAAATATTTTAAATGTTCCTTAAAATAAAATATATTGGGTTCAATAGGAAAAAAGTTGTTGTTAAAGGTACCGCGAAGAGCTCAGAAATGTGTGTTTTTTATTCTATGTTTCATGTTATCTCAACTAAAAAATGAAGAGAAGGTGGGACAAAGAGTAGCTCCTCCCCTTTAAAAACAACAGCCAATCCGCTTTTTAAGTCATGACGTATGAAATACTGTTTCCGGACCCAAGCCGCTATTCCTCTGAATAGAGAAAATACTTGTTTATGACCCCTTTTTAGTCATATCACACATTAAAGTGAATTTCATATGAAGTGAAGATTATTTAAAAACTAATTTCAAGAGGATCACGTGCTTATGATTGACACGGCTGGTCCTGCATTAGCTAACGTATGATTCACCAATCAGACGATTCCTAACTTAGTATAAATAGCCAAAGTGTCTTAACATAGTCATCTTCATCTTGAAGAATCCCCTCTTCCACCCTCTCTCCCTCTCTTTTCCTCCATGGGACTGCACGGCGGCCCAGTGGCTAGCACTGTTGCCTCAAAGCAGAAATGCCTTTGGTTTGGGTCTTTACCCAGCCAGTTGACGTTTCTGTGAGGAGTTCATGTTCTTCACGTGCTTTTCCTCCCACAGTCCAAAACATGAGACATATGTAAATTGACTAAACCAAATCAGCACCATGGACGAATTTCAACCAGCAGTATATACTCATAACAATCCTTAATCAGCTAAGGGGGGGTTCTCGAGATCTACCTGAGCTCAAACTCCCCTTTCACCCAGCAAACGTTAGGGAGCCCTGGGCTCGAGAATCTTATGAGCTCAGGGTTCTTTCCCAGGACAGCATGCCAAACAAGCTTCAGCTTTACCAATCATCAGCTAAGTGTGAACTCTTGAAATCATGGTATATACTCCAGTCTCTGGACTTGCTGCATCATAGACATCAATATTTTAACAATTAAAAAAAGTAATTACTTTCTGTCCATCTGATATGAGTCATGGATATATATATATTGTGAACTTTTACACTGCTTTGTAAACATATATTATTAGCATTTGTTGAATCTCCCCAAACAGTTTGATATAGCACTTGGACCCAGAAGCCGATTTGTGTGACGTCACGCTTAACAAGTGGATAGCGTTTCGTTTTTATCTTAGCTCTGCAAGTGAGAGATTCTAAGATCAAGTTCAAAGCAACGCAGCGAAAAGCAAATAAAAAGGGTCTTGAAAGGGGCGGGGCATGACATTCCTTTTTTAATTTCACAGGACCGCTAATAGTGTGATATTTTTATTCAAGCTTATCATACCATCTGAATCTACTGGTATGCAATATCTGAATATACTGGTGCAAGCTTAATGCTAACACAATAACCATTTTAGTACAGGTGCTTTTTACCCCTTATATCAGGTGTTCCGAAAAATACTCTCATACTCTTTCTTTTCAGGTTTTTAAAATCAGGACAAACTGGAAGTCAACCATTAAAGCATCTGCTAAATGATTAAAAGGCTAAATGATAAAATGACTAAATGTAATGTTACAACAGCTCTTTTATTCTGTATTGTGAAGCACATCTTAGTGTAACAGACTATTGGGGAAAAAATTGTATTTCAGAAAATATGTTCAGTTGGTTTTTGACTGGATTTTGAAATCTGGCCACTGCAGTTGAATGTAGAAATTTGTTGTATTTATAAACATGTGCCAATGTTTAGTAATACAACTACATTGTGGTAAAGAATATACATAATATTTCTACCATTGGCAGTGGACACTTTAAAATATTGTGAATTATTCTGTGATTTTAGTTTCATTTTCTATCAAATGGAGTAAATGCATATGTGTGACACTGCTATAGAAGAGAAAAACATGTTTCAAGGTACTGCCGGTTTACTGAAAACACACTTATCTGGGTAAGCTTGTAATTAATGTCAGTAATGAGTGTTTTTGTTATTTGAAAACCATTTAACTTGTTATTACTTGGACAATACTAAAGTCTATTATCTCTTCAACCTCTTCTTTACCTATATCACAGGTGTAAAAAAAACAAGAATAAAACACTTGAAGCAGACTGTTAACTTAGCACCATGAGGATGGTCCTATATTTGCATTAAATTTACTGATATCTAAGATGGCCACTGCCGGAGCTAGTGTTAACTCTGTGGCTTTATTTCTGGCTTTATCGCTTCTCCAGACTGGACTTAGCTTGGCGTTGGGTTACACGCTGCAGTTTGGCAGAGATATTTCGAGAGCCCGGTCAAGCTGTTTTCAAAACGTATGGGCTCCAAGAGAGAGCTTCAGAATAAACACTCGCCTCCAGACGGAGCTTACAAACAATTTGGCAGAAAAGTACCACACTTAATCACAACTGAATGAAAACACAATAAATGCTGGTGAAGTCTAATGAGGTGAAGGACATGATTCACACGTGCCACAGACAGTGGGCTCTGGCTCAGTCCTGCTATAAACCAGTCTTTCTGTATTAGCAGATGGAAAAACTTGAGGAGCAAAAACTTCTCAGTCAACTAGTGAAACATCAAACTAATGCAAATGCTCTATAGACACTGACAGATCAAGAATTAAAGCCCATCTACACAAGGGATGACAATTATAATAATATCTATAGGTATAGACTTTTTTTTAAGTCACCCGTTCAATTATTGAGTTCTTTAAAAATAAGGCCACACAACAGCTGTGATGATAACATTATTGGTGGAATTAGTTTTAAAAAATATAAACAATAAAAACATTGGCAGCCAAATTAATCCATTTTAAGGTTCTTTGAGCTTGCAAGTGACACTTTAAGTGAAATTATCTTTTCTGGATGGTTTCTCAATTGTGTGTGACTCCACACTTTTACTCAGAAATAGAGACGCTCTATCAGATTTTTTATAGAAGAAATAATACTAGCGTCTGTTATTCCCTGAAAAAAACTGCAGAGAGAGACATTTGTGGGAAGCACTATTCATAGAAAAGCACCCTAACTCACCTCAAAATATAAATACCTTTTTTGCTGCATGGGTTTAAAAGCAGGCGAGCGAGGTTTTAAAGGCTGGCTGCATTCAATAATGGATGAGCAACCCTCTCTATATTAACTGTATGGGTCATTTAGTCTGTTACACTCACACAAAGTACCCAAAAGCGGCCCAAGATGGACTTTGTGCAAAGGAAAAACAAACCTTTTAATCAGAAAACAACTGCAGGTATTAATAGTGAAGACATTTAGCTCGAATCACAGTTATTTTATGAGATTATAATCTTGTCTTATTAGGTAATCACATCACATTTAAATGTTGTGTGCATATTGGGGGTTTTATTAAAAAATATCCCCTGCATACTTTCTATATGGATTGGAAAAACTTTTCACCTCAATAACGACTCAGAATGCAGACTAGGCATGGGACGATAACCATTTTCAAGGTATACCGCGGGTTGGAAAAGTCAATGTTTTACTACTGCCAAAATATTCTGCTATAAAGTTCCTAAAGTATGTGTACTTTTTTGTTTGTTTACGTTTTAAATTTCTTTTTTAGGACAACAGTATCTCCAGCATAAAAGATCTCCAAAGATGCCATTTTAAATTGTAAAGAAGTGTTTGTTTTTGAAACTAATGAAGACAGTAGAAGTCAATGATTTATTTAAATTATTCAGCCTGACATGTTTACTGTTTCAAAATATTTTACGTGTTTCTCAAATTAAAAAATATTGTGTTCAAGGGGATTTTTTTGTTTGTTTGCTTTATTTACTCGGATATTTAAAAAGAGCATATATTAGAAAAGTAACCACAATACCGTGAATCTGTGATACTTTTATATAAGGTTATCATACCGTCAGAAAATTATACCGGCCCATGCCTAATGCAGACATAACCTTTTAATTCATAAAAGCCCTCCATGTTCACCAAAAATTACTCAGTGTAAATCTTTCAGCCATAATCTTAAGAATGTGGTACTGCTTGCTGGTAGTAAAGTGATTATACATGTCTGAGTCACAGAGGAGTTGATCAATGTTTGATATTACATGATCACTGATCTTGACGTATGAAAACATTGTTTTAAAGTTGCTTATGGCTGCTTTATGTAACTGCGTTTACGTGACATTATTTTGCCGATTTGATACAAGGTGATATCGGTCATTCAAAGCATGAAACTCGTGTAACATGTGTAGCGCTAAACTGCAGTGTGCACTTGTTCCAGGCATGCACTTGATTGTTAAAGGTTACTGTGGTTACTTACAGGTAGTAGGTGAAAGCGCTGAGGCCGGTGGGGACGCTGGTCAGTCCCCGTCCAGAGCAGTCCGCTCCTCCGTCCTCATCACAGCGGCACAGCGGAGAGCATGTGGCCGGAGTAGACTGTCCCTCTCCCGCAGCGGCAGCCTGTCCCCCTACACACAACCCCAGCACCAGCATCCGGACGGCCAGCAATGCCATTATTCTCCTGCTTTTTACCCAAAAGACCCTCGAAGGCAAATGCGTGGCGCTTGTTTCGCCCACAAACAGACGTGGTGATAGTTCCTTCAACCTAAGAACAAGTACATTATCAGACTCCCAGAAGACTTTAGGTTGAATTCGCAGATTTAGACACGGTGAGGGCTAGTTAACGGACTACAATGAAGCCACAACATGTCTTTTTTATGTGTGCGAGTGCCCCAAAACAAATGGTTTAGCTACCTGCTTTTCTTTCAGCCATGGCTGGTGTAAGTACTTAACGTTAAGTGCTCTTACCTAATGCCCGCGAACGATAAGCAGACCGAGCCAGTCAACGGTCATTCTGCGCGGAGTCTCGAGCCTCACACCTCCAAAAACAAAACAAACACCTTTAGATTAGATTCCGGGGTCGAAACAATCGGGGCTCCAGATTGCCGTGGTTCGCTAAGCGTCCGCTTCCAGGAAAACACTCGCAAACCGCGACGAAACACGACGGGTTACAACAGTATTTTCACTCTCTCTCTCTCTGATTTGTTTCCTGTAGAAAACACGGTCAGCTCTCCGTCGAGCCTCACGTTTCCTCTCTCTCTCTCTCTCTCTCTCTCTCTCTCTCTCTCTTCGCTCTCTCTCCCTCTCTGCAGGATAGCCAGTGAGGTGCTGAATATGGTAATACAGACCTACATATTAATGATTTTACGACGTCAGCTCTATAGAATGAAAGTGGGGGCAACTTGTGACTGTTAAATATTCAAAACCTACTGTATATTTAGCCGCGGAAACAAGAAACAGTGCTATTATTTTTACTACTATTATGAAAAGTAGCAACATATGTTTTTATGTTACTTAACATAATACAATAAAATATGATTTTAGATTTAGTTTTTAAAGACAAGTAAAATGTAAGCAGATTTTTAAGACAATTTAATAAATTGTGTAGAAATTACTTGTAAGTATGACTTGTAAAGTGAATTTGATCCAACTAGCATATATAAATACAGAAATTATTAGTGTGTGAATCAATAAAACAGTATTTCTAAAAAAAATAAATAAAAAAAATAAGGCCATTTACCTGTGCAACTGTTAAAATAAAGACTCCAGGTTAATAAAATGAAATTCAATAATCTGGATTCATGTCTATCAGAATCGTGGGCATTATAAGTTCAGATTTAAAAAACGAAACAATTGAGATATTAGATGATTTTACGAAAAGCGACTGTGTTTCCACCTGTATTTCAGTACCCTTGGTAGAATGCCAAAGAAGACGACAACACTGAATGTTTAAATCACTGGCTCACTTAACACTAATGATATCATGTTTAAGATAAAAACTAAATGTTTAATTTACAAAACATTTATGTTATATTCTGTGTATTATACCAACATTTAATGTGTGTGTGTACATGTATATTTTTACATACAGTGTATATGTAAGTATACAGGTAAGTCGAAACTCTCCCAAAAATTACACCATCACACACGTTTTGGTGATTTATGACCACTGTATTGTTTTTAAACCCTTAACACCACTAACTTTATCATCTTGCCCTAACCCTACCCCTAACTGTCACAGGGAACCTGTGGCCAATTTTAAATGTGAAAAGACCCTGCTAAGAATGATTTATAAGATTTGAATTATGAGGACACAGGGCATGTGCTCATACCTCAACACTTAATACTGAGGTCATACCCATGTCATAATATAAATTACCTCGTAAACCACCAAAAACCAATACACACACACACAAATACATCTTAGATTTGGTCTGTGTCTGAGTTGAATTCATTTTTGTAACTCCACACCATAGTTTGAAAGCAGTCCGAGAACTATATATTCAGCAATTGAAGCAAACTCATCATGTCTGAGGACACTCGTACATTGCATTTAAAATTCAAATTTCATCAGCTCTTGCATTCTCTTGGAGATGAACCCATAACATTAGTATCAATACTGTAGTGCCCTGAAAAAAAATTACACCATCATCTAGTACACCATTACCAAGATACAGCATCATCCATATTCTCTGGACCTCTGGTTATAGGTCTGTACAGATTGTATTCACAAAAAAAATCTTTCTAAAAATCATGTGTGCAAGTCAAAAAAGCATTAAGTGACCCATATATGGGTTTCTACATGGGAAAAGATTTCAGATGAGTCAGACGCGACCAAGACATATACAGTATAAACAGCCACAACTGAACCCTTACAGAACCTCTTCAAATAGAAAATAGTTGAAACTGTGTCATCTATTTACTGACATTAACAAATTTTAATGAATGATTATTCAGCATTCATTAAATCACAGTTCAACATTTACTAATGCATTATTAATATCCAAATTCATGCTTATCATTAGTTTATTCACTATGAGTTAACATGAACTATCAATGAACAACTGTTTTCATTTACTAACATGAACAATTGTTAGTTCATTTAAAACATGTTAACACACATTAGCTAAACATGCACAACCTTATTGTGAAGTGTTAGCCAGTTTCTTTAATAATGGTTCTTTAATCATATCAAAGCTTCCATGAAGAACCATTACATTTTTCTTTTTATAAAAGCTTCTTTAAATGATTAAAATGTTTGTTACAACTGTTCTGCTCTGTCCAACTTCACAAATGTTCTTTTGAACTGTTCACATTGTAGTTCTTTATGGAACCCAAAATAATTTTTCTATTATATTGTGAAAACCTTCTTTTAGAATATTTATTTTGAATGTTCTTCACAGAAAAAGACAACCGAGGCTCATTCTGAAAACGTAGTCCCGTGGACGTTTCTGGAGACTGCAAAATACGTCCCGGGAGGTACGTATTTTTTAAGTTTTTATTTTCGTGAATCCATGAGAGGCCACTATGTTTTTCGTATATCAAATGTCTCTCGTGCTGTTCTCGTGTGAACCCGCCAGAGGCCTCTGTCAAACGACCGTCTGTCTGACTGACTGAATGATTGACTGTGCGACCGGCCAATCGACTGACCCACCCTCCTCCTTCACTAAACCCAACCAATTTTACTGATTGACCCGCCCATCCGCTTACTTCCCTAAACCCAACCAACAATTTACAAAAACCATCCAGAAAAAGAAAAGCACTAGCCTGATTTTTATCACGTTTTCGGATTTTACCACATACCACATTTTACCACATGTCTCACCTGATTTCTGGAACCACTCTTCCCTGAACTCAAACCCGGTCGTCGTGGCTAACTCCTCTCTGCGTCTCAAGTCAGCTGACGTACACGACGAGCTAACTGGACAAACTGGTTGCAGCGCGTAAGCCCTCCACATGGAGGTAAGCGATCAGCCGGTAAGCGCAAAAAGGAACGCGTCATACCACCTTAAAGCGCTTGCTTAAAAAATTAAATGCAGCCTTTCTCCATGGGACTACATTTTCAGAATGAGCCTGTGTTGGAAAAAGAGATGGTTCTTATAATGAATAATCACTGAAACTTCTTTAATGACATAACTGCAAAAACTGCTTCATTTATAGGAACAGGCATTGTTGCAACACAGGCTCATTGTTAAAACGTACCCCAGTATACATTTCTAGAGTGCGCAAATTGTGTCAAGATGTCCTCGCTGCAGTCTGTATCACAATGAAGTACTGGACCAGGTCCAATCTCTGGATTGCTTTTGAAAACACTGTCAGTTGGGTTTAGAGAAGGTGGTGTAGGGTCAATCAGTGCTTTTGAAAACACTATTGGTTGGGTTTAGGTAGGAGGGTGGATGGGGTAACGGTCGGTCAGGCAGTCAGTCCATTGGTCAGTCACCCGCAGCCTCTGTTGGATAAACGTAAAAAAACAGCAGGTGCAAATGGCACTTGCAAGAGACATTTGATATCTGTAAAAGCATACACAGCAGCTACAGGTGGATTCATGAAAACAAAAATTGCAAAAATACGTACCTCTAGAGATGTATTTCGCACTGTCCAGAAATGCATACAAGGTATGTATCCATAATGGGCCTGGGTTGCATTTTACCCAATGCTAATCACAAATGCATACAAAGCAGTTTCACACTGATACATTAGAGTAAACATGTAGAAATACAGGGAAGAAAGAGACATATAATAAGATGGGATAGGAAATCAATGTCTTATGTGCAGCCTTATTCTAATGGTAAAATGTCCTGGGTAAAATGTAGGATAGGTGATTCAGTGAAACTGTAAGAAGTAAACACTTTTGCAAAATATTACATGTTTGAAAGCACTATTTGTAGATATTCAGTGCAATATTTCTCCTCTCCAAAGTTTAGTCTTCAAACTCCCATTTGAAAAGGCCAAGAGCATACAATACACACTCACATCTACTCTGGCAGCACATTAGCATAAACTGTCTGTGATAACATAAGAGAAAGGCTGTCCTAGTCTGCCAATACTCCTGTTTGTGTCGGTTTTATAAGCCAAATTAAAGTTATCATAAATGTCTGCACAGCTACACTGTCTGCACCACCCTTGGGATTACATGGCACTGACTCATAAACTAAAAGGGTAAAAGGAGAGAGGCAGAGAAGAAAAGTTTTATGTTTTGGCCAGTGTGTGTGTGTGTGTGTGTGTGTGTGTGTGTGTGTGTGTGTGTGTGTGTGTATGTGTGTGCGTGCGTGTGTGTGTGTGCACATGCTTTTGTGACATATCAGGACACAAATATGTATACTGACATGAGTGTGACACAGGTATTACAAGGAAATTGTGAATTATGAGGACACTGACCCTACGAGGACAACACAAAATCTTAAGCAATACACAAATACACTTCATTGAAAATGTATTATACAGACATCACCTCTTTGGAAAGGACACAACACTCAAAAAATGACTTTGCTGCTTGTTTAAACTACCTGTTTAAAATGAGTTGAAACAACAACCATTTAGGTTTTTGTGACTACTTAATTGTTTAAATTCAATCCACTTAAAATTTTAATAACTAGTCGGCGCCCTTACACTGTAAAAAGTGATTAGTTATTTAAAGCAAGTTAACCAATTGCCTTAAAAGCAACAAGTTGACTTTACAAAATCAATGTCAGTAAACCCACTGTAACTTGTAACTGTTTTGTAGACATAACTCTGCAAATTGCTCACTTTTTTATGAACACAAACTAATCGCTTTTTTACCATTGCACCTTTGTTATATTTATTTTTATTTTCCAGCTTTTTTGTATCCAGCAAAATGACATACAGAAACTAAAATAAATCTGCTTTTCCAATCTCCAGCAAGTTTTCTAAATTCAATACAGGCCATAAATGTAGATTTTATAAATTTAATGAAGCACCAAATATGTAATGTAATAATAACAATAATTATTTGAAAACAAACATGTTAAAATAGTCTGATACATGTAAAAAGGGATTAGTTGACTTTAAAAAGTGAGTGCAATTAGCATAACTATACAAGTCAATGTAACAGTTCCAAGTTACAATGGGTTTACTCATATTATCTTTGTAAAGTTGCTTGTTGCTATAAAGGCAATTGGTTTACTTGCTTTATGTAGCTAATCACTTTTTACAGTGTAGCCTAGTGGTGAATTGTGCTGTCATAGCACCTCACAGCGATCTGAGTTTAATTCCCAGCTAAATGTCCTTTACCGATCCTTCCCCTCTCTCTGCTCCCCATGATTTCCTGTCAATTCTCTACACCATTCTATCCACTGAAGGTCAACCCCCCACCCCCACCCCCACCCCTAAAAATAACTATACGCAATTGTCAAAACTAATAAATTGAGGAATTGAGGAATTAGTTAAATTAATTGCTTCAATTTTTTTTAATACAAATTGATTGTGTGAAACCCAGCATTTTTATGTGCATTTTTAAAAATGAGCTGAAACAACACAATTCTTTTTTTGTTTTTTGGGGGACAATTTAATTGTTTTAAGTTCAATCCGCTTAAAATTAAGTAAATGCCTTCAAGTTGTTCCAACATAAATCGATTGTGTGGAACCCAGCAATTTTTTACTGTGTATTTACTGTACAACTGCAGATTAACTGTTTATACTGTTCACCCTTATACACAACCTTGTTTAACTTTTCTGATTTCAACTGTAATATAATAGCATGCATCTTTTGTAAAATTGTTTAATTGATGTGAAAAGTGCTATAAAAGTAAACTGGAATCCCCCTATTTTATAAAGACATAATGATTTTTTTTTGACAATAAAACTGCACACAGTTTTTGTATGGTGTAGGGTTGACAAATAAATTGTCATTTGTACAGTATAAAAACAATGGAAACCTATGGGATGTCCACACAATTCACATAAACATGAAACGTAAGTTCTTCCATGTTACCTCCTCAACACAACTGACGTCAGGTTTATCTGAAATCACTAAAGCATGCTTTTATAGGCATATATTTGTCCAGACTGTTGCTCTTTATCTTATCTGCCAAACGCTACGCCTCGCACCATTATCATTCTATTGCATTTGACTATGCTATTTTGCAGCATTTTTATCACAATTTCTGTTATGCCCAGATGCCTACAGGGACAGATTTTTCCACGGGCTTGCATTTAACCTTGCGTTGGCCAAAAGTAAACCGAAATGGTCTGAAGTGAACTAGGCACACTCTTCTGGGGGTAAAATTAAATCTCTTCGTTCTGTTAACACTGTCAAGCACATGACCGTGCCCTGGCAAAGTTATGTTTTGTTTTTAGTGTACTGTTTTGATGTTCATCTGATTTATTCTCTAATGAAGGCGCGTCTGCTTTGGGTATGTGAATAATTATAAGGTCTGTTGAATTCATACGCTCTGCATGTCAGCAGCCACCATTAAGTTAGCTTGTTTGGGAAACAGATGAGCTTTGGATCTCCTCCAGCGTCTGTGTTGAAATATGTTACCGCTTTCTTTAATTGATTTTGTGAGTATGGAAATCTGACACGCATATAGAAGGGTGTTTTGACCGGTTACACAAGATCGATTCATAGAGGCAGTAATATTGTGGTTATAATGCAGGGGTTCAATCTGATTGTCGATATGCGATTCGCTTCTCAAGGGCAGGAAGGGACCACAAGGCAATGAGTTTTCATGCAAATACAATTTGCATTTGCAGCAGTGGCAAGCGAGTGGTGAAAAGGCACTTGTGCAACCTGGCCCAAAGAGGAAATGACATGGCTGAGAGCAAATTTGAATGGCACATATCAAGATCCCATGGCAAATAGACAGTGACTATCAAAACAGGGTTATCAAAGCTGTGAAACGGGGAGAGAAAAGATCAAGTATTGTGGTATCTGCTAATTGAACAAACTTGATTTACTATTGAGAAGAGCACATCTGTAAGAACTCATTAAGCTGCATTCCTCCTCCTGACCTGAAGGA